GTATTCATTTATTTATTCATATATTTTTTTATCTTGTTAATTATTCTGATTGTGAATTTGCTTTCTTTAAGTAAAAAAAAAAAGGTCAAAGACAAAGCTATTCGGTTTCTTGTGAGTACATACACTACACTGCCGATGTAGGGGGGCGCCACCTAAAATCTTGCCTAGGGCGCCAGATTGGTTAGGGCCGGGCCTGACTTTACATGTAAACCTGACGCTCGCGTCCATCGTGTTCGGTGTGAACACACCGTTACGCACAAGACTCGCGTGCGGAGTGAAGCGGAAAAAAAGTGCGAGAGAGAGGGTGAGAGAAAGGAAAAAAAAAAACCCACGGCTCGCGATAAGGAGCCGGCTCGCGTCGTTCACGTCAAAGACCCGGCTCTAAGAGCCATTTCGTTCACAACCGACACATCACTAGTGGGAACATTTCCTGTCCTGATAGCAGTGAGCGCTTTGGCGTGGGGCTGCTTGGTGAGAAGAGCGATACGCCCTTTCACATCAAAACGTTGTCATAAATAAGTCTCCAATAACACCAGAAAAAGTCACCAGATTTGTCGCTAGTTGCTTTTTAGAAAAAAAGTCGCTAAGGGGCTCTGAAAACTCGCTAAATAAGTTGGCAACACTGCCCCTGGTGTGTGCGCTCACAACAATCCCATATGGAAAAGAAATAGTAAAAACTTACATGATTTACTCATCAAAGTGGCCACTTTCTTATTACTTTCATATATTGTTTTAGTAAGTATCCAAAACATACAAGTTTCATTTATATAATTGTTCAAGGGATCTTATATCTGTTTTCACTCTTGTATGTAGACCGATACAAACTTTATAAGATTTATAAATATCTTTTCCATATGGGATGGCTGAGCCTAAACGGAGTCATGTGAGGATGCATTTTACCTCCACAAACCGCCAAGACGCGATTTGCATGTTTACATGTGCCAAGACAGTGAGGTGCTGTGGCAACGCCACTACCCTCGTCAAACACCTCCGAGTAAATCATATCACAGAATATGACGAGCTTATGTTGAGGCGAACTGAAGCGGAGGAGAGGACAGGTGCTGCCAGGGCGAGACAGACGTCTGTCGCAGAGTCCTTCAGTGCTGCAGGCAACGTGTTCAAATAGTGCACAACTTCAGGTTTTTTATTTCTATGTGATGAACTCTGCATCATTAAGCTATAAGAACAAATAGTCTGATGTCCTGTAATCATTATGAAGCTATATTATTATATTGTTTGTTTGCATCCATGTTTGCACACGTTGTTTTCTGGACATGTCTTATGTGTCACTGAGTTACTGAGTGTGTTTCCATATTTGTAAACATTGTTAGGCATGTCAGTTTTGCCTTACCCTTGTGTATTTGCTGGCTTTTCCTTCTGGCTTTTCTAATGTTTCTGCCAATTGTTCACAGTTGAAATACAAGTAGTTTTGAGAAAACCTTTTTCTGCTGGCCATTTTGCTTTTCTGAAATGTCTGCTTAAGTTATTACTTTTCTGCTAAATCATAGTGTTTCTGCTACTATATTACATTTCTACTAAGTTCTACTAAGAGTTTCTATTTCTAAATTATACTATTATACTACTGTATACTAAGTTCTACTGTTACACCATTTCTTCCAAGTTTTCATGTTTGTGCTAAATATGAACATTTCTGCTGAATTACAATACTTCTGCTATGTTGTTATGTTTCAAATTCAAATTTTATTTGTCACACACACACAACCATACACAGTATGACATGGGGGTGAAATGCTTGTAGCTGTACAATGCCCGACCATTAAATGACAGAAAAACGTTTTACAGTATTTACAATTTACAGGTTACTACAAAATTTACAAATTAACTTAGAAATTTACAGTAAAAAATGTGCAAATAGCAAAAAGAGTTTATAAGGATTATAAATTATAGGAAATGTGTGGTGGTGCATGTGGTGATGTGATGTGTGTGGGAGAGTCCAGTCCTACACCTGGTTCAGGGCCTGAATAGCCTGGGGGAAGAAGCTCCTCCTCATTCTCTCTGTTTTGGCCTTAAGGGAGCGGAAGCGCTTCCCAGACCTCAGCAGTGAGAAGAGAGTTTCTGCTAAGTTATTACCTTTTTTCTAAGTTGTTATGCTTCTGTAATTTTTTTTAAAAGTTCAACTACTTTTCAAATAATGACTTCAGCTTCTTCAGCTGTTTTCAGCAGACAGCTTCAGCTTTAAAGCATCCACACAGCATTTTTGCAGGAAATGCAAATTTTTCTAGTTATAATTATGATATTTAATAAACACACACTGTATTTTAAAGAACATACATTAAGAAACCAATTGTATTAAATTTTTATTTCAAATATATTTCATTACATTTTCTGTCATCATTTTATTATAGAATAAGTGCAAGAGTTGTTAAGTGTGGATACGCAGCCCTGCCCTCCTGCACTATCAGCAGTGGGAGCAGCAGAAACCCCTCAACAGCAACATTTTACCCCATCAGGTAAAACATAGGCTATGTTTGCTTTGCCTTATCGCCACCTCACAACAGTGAGTATGATGCAATCCCATATTAGATTCTTGATGAATGTGTGTTGTTGTTATTCAGCCTGGTTCAATGTGCCCCTTTTTAACTTGAGCACCCGCCCCTTTAAACCTCTCTGCATGGCCCTGACCAGGAGGGGATTAAAGCTACACACTTTTCACCACGCCTTCATCCACAGAGACCATGAATGCACCGGGAAGCAACATGGCGGTGGCGTGTGTCTGTATGTAAACGACAGCTGGTGCCCTACAGTCACCGTGAGGGCTATTTCCCTGTGTCCCTACTACCTCCTCAGAGAATTCCCACAGCTTTTCATCATCTTGGCCCTGACAACATCAGCAATCGAGCCCTGAGGCACTGTGCAGGGCAACTAGGAAGTGTGTTCCAGACTCTATTTCAACACTCAGTTGACAGTATTTAATTTCTAGTGTTTAATGATTTATTGAACTGTCTGTCAGGATGTGAGGATCCACGTAGGAGGTCAGAGCTTCATGTTTATGGGATTAATGTTTTTTAAGGATTTTTAAGTCAACCTAAGATGATTTGTTTACATTTTCACATGGTCTTACTGAGGTGATGCAAAGTGAAACATGCTTTCTGTTCGCTTGTTTTTTCGGTCATGTACTTGAAAAGCTTGAACATGGACCTTGAAAGATCTTAAAAAGTGCTTGAATTGGAGCCAGATAAAGGAACCCTGTTTAAAGTTGATTGGGAGGTGATGGAGTCTGAAACCATGTGATCACTGTAAGCTCTGTGATTTATTACCCAATGGACCAGCAAC